AACGATGTGTCGATGTATCTAGGCGCTTTTCTAATGAATTTTTCATAGGACATAGCATAGCTGCTTGTCGGCAAGGTCAGTTTACATAGACCGTTCCACATATCCGCCAACAAACACTGTGCATGTTTATCTAGCTGTAAGCTCATGAATGTCCGCAATGTTCAACTTCCAACAACTAAGTGTCATTCTAGGCGCATTCTAAACAAAAAAGAGTTGTGACGCTTCTAGCTAGACATAAGTGTGGCACCAATAGCGCAGCTCTTGAAGGCGAGAGTTCGGAAGGCAGTGCTCCAGCAAAAGGTTTGAGTAACATCTGAGGTAAAACGAAACAGAACCATGAAAATTTGGATTCTCACTCAAACATCTGTTCCAAAAATTTCTTAAGCGTAATTAAAATGGTCCGAAGTCATCCGAAAGATATCACTCGGGACGTGGTATCAAAACATTGAAGTGAAACTTATGGAATAGGCGCAGGTTTGAACGTAAAACCGCAAAAAGTTTGAAGAGAAAAAAGAATGATAGAAGTAACGTAACAAATGATGACAGAGAGCTATGTAAACCAGAATGAACAAAATGCGACTTACTGCAGAGGATTTGGTTGTTGCCGCGACCCACTAGGGATGGCTCCATTTTGCTGAGCCTGTTTCGCACCAGCATGATTGACACGATTTAATCGCGGGAAGTTTTCAGGACGCAAGGTCTGAATACTGATTATCAATCAATTCAAGTGTGTGCATGAAACACTAACCGTGCAAGATTAGAAAAACTTAAAAGAATAACACATACCGTGAGAGCAGGATCGGAACGTGAGCTCGGAAGACTTGGGCCTAGACTAGGGAAATCTTCGTTAAGCGGTGTATAGGCTGGAGCAACGTTGTACCTCACGGTACGATTGCGACTTGTACTTTGCGCCGACGGGACAACCACAAACTCATCGGTTCTAAAAAATTAGATAGCCACATTACTGACAAGAAAAATTAGTTGATGTGTATACGAGATAAATTGTGTAAGCGCCGAATAAACCGCATTATAAACCGCTTTACATGATTGCGGCATAAATGAAACATTTTGTTCTGTCTTGCTTTATGCATGACTATACCTTCTAGGAGCAACCGGTTCTTCTCGCGGAACAACAGCAATTTTATCCGTACGAACGACCGGAACAGCTGCGGGCGGTTCGCGTCGAATGCTGGAAATTTATAGGTCAGCATAATCCGCTTCATTCTATCAAACTCACCGTGATGGACCGGCGAGCTGTCGATCATTGAATTGGAAATCAAGACCCAACCCCACACGACGATTGCTATGGTCCTTGGACTAAATCGACGAATGAGTAAGTGTAAATGTAATATGAATCAGGAACCAACCTTATGCAAGTTCAGATCAAGTTGATTGGAGAAGGCGATCCCCATGGCCCTGCATTCTTCGAATTCGCAAAGAAAATGTTGATCTTTATAATGGGC